TTTTTTCAACGTACGTACTATCTTAATTTTGCTCAATTTTCGTACGTACGTCAATACATATTTGTACTGTCAAAAATTTCAGGGATATTTTATTATAAACGCATCAAAATCGTAATTTCAGTCATCAAAGCGCATAGAAATATAAATCCTCCACTTTGCTCCGGACAATAATAAACATATTAGATTGTTCTAGAGAATTACTCCGTTATAACGAGGTATCCATTATAACAGAGTTCGTTATAACGAGCGTAAACTATAATAAATTATTTTTCTTATTAGTTATAGTTATCATTAATACTTTCATTAAAAAATGTATGCCTCTAACGAAAGACGAAGTAATTTGATTCTAAAGTTTCTAATTAATGAAATTAATGAAGCTTCCGAAAAAGCAATTGCTCATTTGAATATTACACAAAAAGCTAGTTTGTTAAGAACATTTTATCGGCACGAACTTCGTAATATGTAAGATTGAAGCATTAAACGGAAGAGCCGTACTATAATTTTCTCAGAACTTTTTTAAAAAAATGGCATTTTTAAAATTAATATCATAATATTATTTATTATGATTATAATCTTTAAAATTTATAAAAATGGTATCAGCCGGATATAAAGACATCTGTAAAAAGATAACAAATAATCCGATCCGTTCTAATATCAGATTCGGATATATCTATTTAAATAATAACTGTCGGGGATGATGCTGAAATCGGATGATGCTGAAATTTGGACCTTAATACCTTAATTTGAAAATATAAACCCTACTAAAATCCACCTAACTCTTTTATTATAAACACTAACCCTAAATTCTAATAGAACGACGAAAAAAAGCAGAACAAAACACCCCAAAAAATTTTACATTTTCATAATAAAATAAGTCAAAATTTCAGCATTATCCGATTTAGCATCATCCCCAACAATAACTGCGTCAGATACGGACATATTCATCCGGACCGCTACTCTAACGTGAACCATAGAGTAACGTTTCACTTCATTCATCTCAACTCCAGCTAATTATTTCTTAGGGTGGTAAAACATATTTATTACGATAAATGGTACGCTATAAATATAGCCTTCTGGAAATTCTTTAGTACCACCTAATAATGAAGGAATATAATTAATATAGCAATAGGAAAAGAGTAACAATAATTAATTGTTAATTTTAACTTACATGGTATATTTAGAGTTGACGGATCATTTCCACTTCTAGTACGAGGACGAACAATATAAGTAATATCTTCAAATGCACCTTTTCCTCGGTTATACTATTTATCGCAATAATTAAAATTTTTGAATTAAACTAATAGAACTACGAACTATGATACTTACAGAAACCTTCTCAAGTCCTAAAGGAATATCTTCCGGATGATCAGATTTCGGTATGGCGACAATTGCACCTGTAATCAATGATGAGTCATCATGCCCCGAAAGAATTGATCTAATGCCAAGCGAAATGCTACCAAGTGGCACTTCTAATTATGATAACAAAATTTTTTCGTTAGTGCTGTTGCATATATGCTAATTTTTAATCGATCAAAAGACTTATACACTGCTAATTGCGTATTTGGCCCACTTAAGTGGATTAAAAAATTTCATTATCATTAAAAATTATACTTTCGGTCAGAATTGAGGTAATTGAGGTTGAGATTAACCAACCAAGAGAATTCATAATAAGTAGTATGAATAATTAAATTATATTATTACATGCCTGTATTTTTGAATGTTGAAGCCACTGCTGAAGTAGGGTAGGAATGAAGATCTTTTTCGTTATTAAAATGGAATGCGCGACTTTCATCTAATAATATTAAAAAAAAAAATCATAAGTATTAAAATCAAATGACTGAAGACCTACATATACATACAAAATAGCCATGATTTATTAGAACATTGATACACGCTAGATCCACTAACGTATGTATAAAATTTAAAAACATGGCCATCCGGAGGAGTCATATTTTGTGAAATATCTATAATTTCGGAAATTCTGTGCGAATTTTCAATATTGTTATTTAATCGATATATTCTAAATTAATTATGATTAATTATTATTATTTTAGATAAAATTTACCATAATTTCCAACTACTTTGGGAATATCAAATATAGCATCTCCATTAAATAGAGAATCATCGGAAAATGAACTACTTGCGTTGAACAAAAGAATTGTTAAGATCAAGAGAAATTCTCGCTTAACCATTTTAATAACCTCTATGTCAAAAACAATTGTGTATTTATGGAATATTGTTTAAGGAAATTAAAATTAATCGAAGGTTAATGGAATATATTTTCTTTAAATTTGGTGTTTAACGGAAATTTAAAGCCTTTTTATAGATCTTTTATTTTTTCTTGAATTACAAATATTTTCATGCTTCAAAAGAATACAGCGAAACTTTAATGTCATACCTTATTATATAAAACCCCGGAAAATATTTAAATTAAATGTACATGCAAAGTAACCTCCCTAAATGGCAATAAGAAAAACTGCATAAAATAATTGGCTAATTGCAGCACACTGTTTGGAAAGCAACGTTTCATTAAAAAATATCACCGTAAAAGCCATTTCTGACTTTAAACTTGGTGAACTTTAATCCGAAGTGAATATTTTAACTATTAATAGCTATACCAACTATAGATGAGTTTAAATGCATGGAAAAGTCCAAAAGAAAAGATAATCTAATCGGTTAATGTAAGTTTTTGTCTTAATGATTCATTATGTCAATAATAAACATTCTTAATACAATATTTACTACTGTATTCATATTAATTTAATGTTAACAGAAATTAAATTTACTGGGGGTGTAAATAAAAGTTTAGTCAGACCCTTCTAAATGTAACTGCTCTAAATGCACGCTCTATGAAAAGCCTCCCTAAACGCATGTCTTCACTTGGGCACAGCTAATATAATACTTATAAATTTTTATCTCCCTAAACGCACGTTTGACTCAATGTTTACATATAGCCGCCGCAATGCATTTACGTAGAGAGTTTTACTGTATAAACTAAGGGTGTAAAGTTGGGTGTTCGATATACGTATTATGTAAATCAAAACTATATACGGTATAATATAGATGTAGCGAAACGAATATGGTTTAATAGGTTTGTATTACAAGATTCTTTTTTTATTAATTCATTTACTAGTAAATAAAGCTTGTGCATTATTAAATTTTAAAATATCTTGCTATGTTACGCTTTACTACGTACGTACCTTTGGCAATTGATTTAAGTGATATGGCATTGTTTATTAACCGGGATGTTGTTTGGTCAACAGTGTAAATCAAATATGAAATTAATTATTGAAAAATTTTTTAATTTGT